ATACCAAACAAATAGAAATATGCAGTGACAATTATGTGAAGGTGTGAAGTCTACTTTGAGAGTATGAGAGAGTTGGGATGTGGTGGTCAGAGTTGTTGCTTAAGGAAGTGATCTTAAAGCTGAGACTGAAAGAATGAATAAGTTGAAAAGATGAAGAGAAAATGGAGGGAAAAAATCTAGTTGTCTTGGAGAGTAAGCTATTAAACTTTCTGTGCCTCAGTTTCCACATCTAATAAAAGAGAGCATTACTAAAACCTATCACAAAGAGTTGTGGGAAATAAATGAGAGAAAATAATTAGAAGACTTGGCTTAAGAATGATGATGATAATGATGATGACGACGACAACGACTCTCAGAAGAGGGAGCAACAGTTGGCAAGGCCTAAAGGGAGGCATATGATAGGCTTGGTCAGGAATCTGAATGAAGACAATGTGTCCCCAGCACTGAGAATGAGGGAGCACATAGGGGAAGAGTGGGAAGGGAGGCCATTTGGACAAATACGTAAGAAAGCAGAGGCCTTTTGGGAGCCACATCTGCCTTTTGACAGAATTGAGCATACTGTTAAGGGAGGAATATAGTGAATGCCCATTTTTCTCAGCAATTCTTATTTTTCCCAATCTCCCCTTGGCTTTTTATGTGAACTGATTGTAAAGTTTAATGCTGTTTAGTGTTTTTAATTTGGATCATGCCTAAAATATAAGAAATAATTCTTGCCCTCCCACCACTTGGAATTACCATCAGCCTTCTTGTGCATGGGTATTTGTTGGTTTTTCAGTTCTCCTTCTGCCTTCAACAAGCTCAGCTATACACAGTTAACTCCTTTAATCTTGTCTCACCCAGTTAGTCCCATTTTCTTAATCATTTTTGTTCTTCCTCTCACTATTCCCTTGAAAATTGCTTTATCTCATGGTCAATTTATCACATAGCCATTTAATTTTTATCAGGCACATAAACCCCTTGGTGGAAATAGCACCGAGAAGCATATTTGTAGTCACTGAAGATTCCACTTTTCTAAGTATATTGCTCACTCTTACAGATTGGTTTATATACATAGCTCAAAAAGTTGAGTGCAATTAGCAGGATGTCTGTGTTCTGATCACATTGCCATCTTGGCTATTCAGTGCGTTAGTAAAACTGACTGATTCAGAATATTAGCATAAAAAGAATCTGGACTGTACCATTAGACCCACCTAAATAGCTATGTGACTGACTCAACCTCTCTGAGGTTTAGGATCTTTTATTTTAGGTGGAGGTTAAGCAAGTAGCTCTGGCATCAGACTGGCAGGGTAAAAATCACCAGTCTCCTCTGCCAGCACTGTGACATCAGCTAAGTGACTTACCTCCTCTTTACCTTAGCTTCTTCATTTATAAAATGAGAATGATATCCATACCTCTGCGATAGGCTTTTGTGAATATGAACAGCAAAGTACTTAGAATTCTGAGAGCCTGCAGGAAGTGAGAACTCAGTGAATGCTGGCATTCTTTTATATAAAATGGGTACAATAAAACACCTTACAAG